CATGCAAAGGCGAGTAATGTAAATTAAAACAATTCACAATTTTTTATTTCTTCTTCCTTGCAGTGAGGTGATAGCTGACCTTGTCACTTGGTGCAGTAAGGATGTTCCTCCACGCAGGCGAATGTTTCTCCTTCCTTACTGACACAGAAGCCCTTGATTTGAATGCTTCAACATCATTGTCATAGTCTCCCCTTCAGACAAACCACCGTCAAGGAACTGTTACCTTAGCACCCTAGCAATAGAGGAAGACACTCACACACTTTGACCTCAGGACAGGCTCCAAAGTTGCCTGGCAGTCAACCTCCTTTCCTGAACAAATGCCAGTTTGGGTTGGTTCGCTGACCAGTGGTAGCCACCTGAATTGCCCTCTGTTGCTCTTCAGACAATGCCATGCTTGCCACAATTGCCTCAGGTCCCTGATGCCCAACAATTTGATATTTCAGGAACAGTAAGTGTTTCCAAGCTGTAGTGTTCCTCTTCTGGCTCGGGGGAGAGAAGCCAAAAATTCCTGAGAACCTGCCCCCGAGTCTGTCCCTCAGCCAGTCACGATCTTCGGAGGTGGGCTCTCTTGTCAGCGGGTTAAATTAGTTATTGGTTTCAACAGTCACATTAAAACAGTTACTAAATCAGCTTACTATCACCTAAAGAACATATCTAGGATTAAAAGACTAATGTCACAGCAGGATTTGGAAAAACGTGTCCATGCTTTTATCTTCAGTAGACTGGACTACTGCAATGGTGTCTTCACAGGTCTCACTAAAAAATCTATTAGAAAGCTTCAGCTAATTCAGAACGCTGCTGCTCGAGTCCTCACTAACACTAAGAAAGTGGATCACATCACTCCTGTTCTGAAGTCTTTACACTGGCTTCCTGTGTGTCAAAGAATAGATTTCAAAATACTGCTGCTGGTTTATAAAGCACTGAATGGTTTAGGCCCAAAATACAATTCTGACCTCCTGCTAAATTATGAACCATCCAGATCTCTCAGGTCTTCAGGGACTGGTCAGCTTTCTGTCCCCAGAGTCAGAACTAAACATGGAGAAGCAGCGTTCAGTTATTATGCTCCAAATATCTGGAACAAACTCCCAGAAACCTGCAGGTCCGCTGCAACTCTTACTACTTTTAAATCCAGGCTGAAGACTTTTCTTTTTGTCGCTGCTTTAATTGAACTATTCATATCTTAGACTGCACTGTAACTTTTATCCATGTATTTTTTCTTTTAATGTTTTTTTATTAACTTTTCTTTTTAATGACTGATTTTAAATACCATTTTCTTAATGTCTTTCATTTTTTGTAAAGCACTTTGAATTGCCTTGTGTTGAAAAGTGCTATATAAATAAACATCCTTGCCTTGCCTAATAAAGATTTCATGTGACACATACAATTGATTTGTTGATGGGAATTAATGTGAATAAATTAACTCGGTCTTAAAAGGTTAACGGTACTCTTGCTATCACTACTCACCGACACTATAAACCTTGTCCCTCATGCTAGCCCTGACAACACCGGTAAGCACACCTTCATCTAGGCTGCACTGTAACGTGTCCTGACTTGTAGTGGTTCTCTCCTCTATCTACACTCTTCTTGTCATCTTTGTAAAACGATATCAGACTGGTAATTGACACAGCCATGACTTCTAGTTCAATTCAGTGTGGCTAAAATGAAAAGCTTTGTTAAAATATGCAAGCACGCGAAAGTCAAATTCAGCTTTATTGTCAAAAATTCTACATGTGTTATACATCCAGAAATATCTAAATATCGTTTCCCACAGTGTGACATGTATACATAAAACAAAAAGGGCCTAGATAAACGTGGTATACATTAAACAAAACGGGCCTAGATAACCGGGGTATGCAGTTTAAAATGTTAATATATTTAAAGTGTTCAAAGTGCAGTTTCAGTGCAAGTCAGTTGAAACGATCTTAAGTTGGCGTGACGTTGAAGTCGTGCGACCCTGCTGCTGTACTGGCTTGTAGTTCGTTTATAGCATAACGTTAGCATTTCGCTTTTGGCGACTAGATTTATGATTCAAAAAATATAAAAGTAGGGTTGACATGTGGAGATTATCCGGCTGAACAAAACGTGATCCCTCTCTTAAATGTGTGTCAACCACGGACCTTATTTCGAGTTATTTTCCAAAATCCTATGGAGAATTTGCATTGGTTTTTCGCGAAGGAACCGGAAGAAGTTTACTTCCGGGTTTTACGACGCGTCACTGCGGTTCTCTTATAATTTTACAGTAAATCGTGTTTACTTCTGTTGCAGCTGTCCCTGATAACGTCTTTGTGGTATCCCATATTATTAAGCTATAATCCAAATAAAAACTCTCAACCACAGAGTGTTAACAACATCAGCCAAGTGATAAAGTTATTTACACAGAGGCATCAAAAGAGTGACTTTATCTGCCTTATTAATGCTTTCTTATACCACAATGTTTGTAGAATTTACTCTACCAATATGCAATCGCAGCAGCTGTGTTTCCAGTTAAATATTTAATATGTGAATAAGGCCTGGTAAAGATAAGATAAAATGGACCTTGAATAACCCCGTATAGAAATGCAAGTGTCAAGGCAGCAACAGAATAAGAAGAAAGCACCGATATTACAAAGATGTATTAAGATGTAGGACTATTAACAATAAAAAAATTAATAGGAATAAGCCTGTAAATTACTTTGTGTTTTTGAGAAATACTCAAAGGCCGTTGAGGACTAAATGCAGGTATTTTTGGGCTGATTTTCTTTACCATCTTTGGCCCTCCTTAAAGGAAATCCGTAATTCCAGTGGGAGGGTTCAACTGTATTCAGACCTTTATATAGTCTATGATTCAGACCGGAGATCTCTACGGACTCACTCCTGCACGACTTGTAAGTGTTAACTGAGCGTCTTGTTTCCATTTGTGCAGTTTAAACACCATACGAAATTATTGCGATAGTGAACGAGCGTTGTGACGTTTACTGAGCGTGCAAATATCGCCATCAGCCGTAATGTTACACATATCGAGAGACACTGACGCGACAGGCTCTCTATCTCTCTGTTTGAGGCTGCTTGGTTTGAGTTTCAACTGCTGTTGGAAACATTTCTGCACACAAAAGGGCAGCTGTGATATGATAGTGAAGATATGACGTGCAGCAGCTCTGGAAACATGCTCATGTTCAGCGAACCTAGCCAAGAATGTTAGCGATCCGCCAGAATGAAGTTCGTTTCACATTGGGAGTCCGCCCTTCAATATCCAGCAACAGGTTCAACCAGTGGACTGTGTAAATATTGGCAATGCAGTGGGATGACTGAAAGGAGAACATCCATCTGAAATTGCTTATTCTGTATAAAGACAGTCAGTAGAAATTAAAAAATTTGTAAATTGAGTGAGTGTACATGGCTATAATGTAGCTACAATTTCAAATCAAACCAAACCAAAGTTTATTTATATAGCCCAATATCACAAAACGCGTTTATCAGCGGGCTTTACAGAATATAAACATAGATGACAGTGTAAAATATAGTTAAAATTACAATACGAATATTAAAAACATGATAGAACGTGAAATACAAATGAAATGGATAAAAATAAAATGAGATAAAATACAACAAAAACACAGTAAAAACAATACGAAACCTGAACACTCCTACAATATGAAACCTGAATCATGTAGACCTACTTGCGGATTTTCCTTTATTATTTCCTTGTTATGCTACTTTATATGGTGGCCGACAGGGGGCACGTGCTCTAGAACGGCCACAAACCCCTTAGATTAAAGGTCCCTTGTCATGGCCTATTCTACCGATCATAATTCCATTGTTGAGGTCTACTAGAATATATTTACTTTGTTCAATGTTCCAAACTCACATTGGTTTTCTCATACAGCATATCTGTATAGTATGTGTATTCACTCTGTCCTACACGCCTTTTTGGAGCTCCTGCACCCCTCCCTATGAGCCCACTGTGCTCTGATGTGTGTTTATGTGTTACAACGGCGTTTGTTAATAACCAGAAAAGGACACAAGTAATGACAAACAGATGAGAATGCTGCGTGGGGTCTGGGTGCCGTGTTGGCAGGACGTTGCGGGGCTCGCTGCGACGCCCTTTGAGGCTAAAGGAGCGGACAGTGTGAGCTGGATTACTGGTGTCGTTTCCTGGTTGCTGCGTGGGGTCTGCGAGACAGCGAGACACCGCGGAACTCAGCCTGAGCACACACTGTGGCGAACTGTGAGTGGAGATTCACGGAGCCGCGGCTGAGAAAAGGTGTGTGTGTGTGTGTGTGTGTGTGTGTGTGTGTGTGTGTGTGTGTGTGTGTGTGTGTGTGTGTGTGTGTGTGTGTGTGTGTGTGTGTGTGTGTGTGGCGCTCCACGGATTGGTCCATTTGTGCCTGGGCATGGTTACGTCACCATACTCAGGAAGAAAAAAATGGAAAAAGAAAAATCTCCAACTAGGCGTTCTGGGGCAGCATAGACAGGTATTTTCTGTGTTAGAGTTTTACTCGCTACAGGGTGTACTTTGAGGGTTTGTGACTTTGCAGACCGTTTACATGCAGAAAAAGCTACTTAACACACAAGGGGACGGGTAATAACCAGAAAAGCATGACATGGGACCTTTAAAAGAAATGCGAAGCAAAGTAAAAAACATAACACATGCAAATGAGCTGTCACATTGGTACAAAGGTTTCTTCATTTGCATGAGTTATGGCACATTTGTGTTTTTATGTTTGCATAGTTTTTGAAAGTGCATCAAGTTTCTCCTGATGTAAGTGTTTTGGGCTTTTTAGCGCATTTGCCCCTGGCGGCCACCATTACTTT